GATTTGCCAGGTAAAACTGCATCCTCTGCCTCAGGTTTGCATCGTATGTGGGCTGCATGGACGGATTAGTCCTGGGTTCCTTCCTTCCGGCACAATTACCAGGTGATCTGAAAGGGATACTGTGACAGACAACAGGATTTTATTGTCTGTAGTGGAGGTGGCAACTTTGAATTGGAAAGTTTTATTTTTGAAACATATATCGAGTAGTAGAACTTTCAATGAATTGAATGTCAATTTGGCTATACCTCTGTTATAAACCCTTAGACTGGGATATTCGAGAATTTAGGTCTGAGTTTAGGCAGGTGCCATGCCAGGTATGTCCCTGTGGCCTTCCGCTGATACACCTTAGAATTAGCCATTCCCAGACTAAATTAATCAGCCCCCTGGAGTGTTCTCCCAGCCTGTCTTTTAAAGATGGTCTGCCTTCTTTAGGACTCGGGGAAACTCAGGTATGGGAGCAAGGACGTCTGCCATGGACTGTTGTTTTCTCATAATTGGGGAAGGCATGGAGAATTCCAAGAACAACATTTGCATAATAATTTCAGTTGCATATGTGTTTCCATAAAGCCCATTTGGCCTCTCCTTCCAATTTTTAGTCAGTCAAGAAACTTAAGAAATAACTAAAACTATGTATTTTTGGAACCAAATGTTATTTGAGACAGAGCTAAAAAACAACAACATATTCCTGGAGTGAAGTCACCAGCAAAAGGATGTGGGGCGAAAGCCGCCAGATGGAGGTGACTTTGGTGAGCACTGTTGGGGAGTCTTGGTCTTCCCTCAGCCCCACAATCCGTCCCAGAGAAAAAGAAGGTTCCAGCCCCAGCTTGGCCCCCAACTATGTGCCCTTAGGGAAGCCCTTTTAAATGGAGAGGTTGACTCTCCACAGGTTCCCGGGAAGAGGCAATGAGCTTGCAGGTTTACAAGTACTCGAGGAAGCTCAGAGCGCTGGAAATCTCACAGGCCAGAGCCAAGGTTCCCTTTTTACAGCTGGAGCCGCCCTCATGGGCTGAAGTGCTCTGGGTCCGAGAGGTGGCCCCGCTGACACGGAGTGTTGTGAGCTCCGGGAAGAGGGAGGCCTGAAGCAGACCTCACACCCCGAGAGATGCAAGGACAACCTTGTCCTGGGCATGAGGCTGCCAAGTAAAACTGTTTGTGAAACAAAAAGGAATTCTGTTCACCCAAAAGGCAGTTTAAAAAGCAGTGCCCTGCAGGACTCCAAAATGGCCCATGACAGTCCAAATTGGACAAAATATTAATCTGATCTCACAGCACGGTTAAATGGACCTATCAGTACAGAAAAACCCATTTTACAGATGTTACTATATTCATCAGCGTTATAATCCAATGGAAATACTATTTTCCCAGAAAGGTGCACTTTTCCTAAATATTTTTTTTTAGAAGTTCTGGTCAAGTGTGTTGATTCTAATTTTAGTCTCTTTAGTGAAAAAAGAAATTTTTCCCCTCTCACCTTGTTGATCTTCTGTGACCAGAGAGATAGAAAACACTATTTTTCAAAGAATTAAAATCGATCACATGAACACACAGACCATTTCTGAAATGTTTCCCGGTGGCCCCCGGTGCCTGGAGAGCCATTCCTCGGAAACGAAGAGACGCGAGTGGGGAATAAAGACGCACAGCATTTATTACGTTTCACCAGAGGGGTATGGGCAATTTGGTCTCCCACGGACCACATCAGACCTTTTTATCTCTCGCACTTACCAGCTTTCTGAAACTCCACTAATGGAGGAATCTGGGGATTTTAAAAATGAAACCCACTTTCTGATGGGCCACTCAGAAAAAATAGGCCCTCTGTGCCCCCACAGTAGCACTTTGGGTGCCTCAGGGGCTGGGCATTCTGTTGTGGGTTTCATAAGCTTCCTGATGAAGTAGATTCCAGCTACAGGCAAAGGGCTGCTAGCCATTTCTCATCCAGTAAAAACAGCCACTTCTTCACTGGGCATTTAGATGTTCCAAGAAAAACTCTAGAAGCCTTACATGGCAATTTGAACTCCACCCGTTCTTACTTGAATACAGTACAGCAAAAGGGAAGTGGGGCCAGGCGGTTGGTGGCCCCAACACCCCTGTTCTCACCATTCACAGGTGGGGAGGGGACCAAGGTCTGCGAATTTTCCCTTCTGTGGCGGAAAGAACCTGCCAGACTGCTTTATCCTAAAAACACCTGAGCCCTTGTGATGTTGCACGATCAGTTCATACTCTGGACTTAATGCTGGTTAGAAAGGGTGTGCCCCTCCCTCCCGGGTGCTTTAGAACTAAAGGGATGGAGGAGAATTTTGCGAGGGTGAGAGAGGGAAAGATAGTATATTGGAAACCAGTAAAGCATGAAATGATTTGGACAAATTTTGAATATATGAATTCGCCTTGTTGGAGAGTGGCCACGAGAGTGGAGAAAGGAGCTGACCATGGACCTCGGACAGTGGGATTATGGGGCCAGGTGTCTTGTTATCTGATGTGATCACACAGCAGCACCAGCTGAGGGGCTGGTGGTGTTATCTCCATTTTACAGATAAGAAAACGGAGGCTCAAAGAGATGACGCTGTTTATTTGATCACATCTGTGGCAGAAACAGGATCTGATCCCAGGTCTGGCAGACAGTCTGATCTGGGATTTATATTACAAACAGTTCCGCAAACCTAAAGATTTGAAGGTCTAAACTCATAGAACGGAAAACTTTCAAATCCCCCCTCCCCCCGTCGTTTTCCAAAGGAGAATTTGGACAGAATGTTCCTACTTGTGCCTGGCTTTCTGCTTCGCTCACTGCCCCCTCTCCCCGCTGCTCCAGGTGGGACACTCCCTCACTCAGTGATGGCTTCCCAGCCACAGAGCAAGCTTTGTTCCAGAAAGGCGATGCCTGGCCTGTGTGTGAGGATGTGTGTATGCATGTGTTTGTGCGCATGTGTGAATGTGTGTACGGATCTGTAATATATGTTTATGCACATAGGGATATGCGTATGTATGCGTGCTAAGTGTGCTGTCTGAGTATATGTGGATATGTGTGTGTGTCTGTGAATGCGCTCTGTGTGTGTGTCTGGTATATAGGGTAACCTTTGGGATTGTGTGTGTTTCTCCATACGGCGTGCCCCTGTGTGAATTGTATGTGTGAATATGTGCCTGGGAGGGTGTCTGCATGCACACACCCAGCTCTCACCGTGGGAGGTTAGGTCTGTGCCTTCAGCCGTGTCACTCTGCAGGCGGCTGGTGGAGGGACCTGCCAGTGGGGAGGGCGTTGGACTGTGTGGCCCAGCATCTCTGCAGATTTGATGGCTGTTCCAGGGGCGTCCTGTCTCTTCATGCCTCAGCTTCCCTCCCCAGAGTCCCAGGAAAGAGCATCACCACACACTTGCGTGCAGATAAGATAAAAATTTTCATTTGAAATGAAATGACGCCTTATATCAGGAACTGAGTTTATAGATGTAATTCTGTCTTAGTGGCTCCCGGGGTCTGCTTCTATTCCGGTTTGTTCGGTGGGTTTGGGGACAGTAAATACTGCAGGAAATAAGCTGACTTTCCTGGGGGTTGGGGAAGCCTCTTGCTCCTTAGAAACGTTGGCTACAACTTTACTTTGGTAGGAGACCCCTATAACCGCTGTCCTGCTCATTCTCTCTGAACTGTAAAAAAAATCATAATTTATTGCAAGGTTTTGAAAAGGCTAGTGTTGTTGTCCTTTGAAATTTTTCTAGGTAGCTTGCATTTCACAGCAAACTAAAGAATTACTTGGAGCGCTGTCACCTGAAGTGTGGGCTCTGAGTTCACAGGGCTGCACCCCCTCGGGGACACAGGGAGGAATCTGAACTTGACAGATGCCTTCAACGAGCTGGTGGAGGGATCTGCCCCACAGGGGCGCCTTTTCCAGGCCTCCCCAGGGCACTGGGTGGTCCCATACACACCTGCATTCTCCGTCTGAAGGCCCCAAATCTGCTTCAAACACTTCCGTGTTTCCCTTTCCCCAGTTGTTAGGGAGCATGGTTGCTAAGGAGATGTTCAGTGTTCCCACTTGCCCCATCACTGTGCACCGAGCAGCATGGAGGCTATCTCTTTGCCTCCTTCTCTTCATAAAATGATAGGGTAGAGCCAGGCAGGCGAGGTGGTGCCTCAGACTCCAGCTCTCAGGTCAGCTTAGCCTGCTCTACGCAGGCTTGGTTCAAATCCTGGCTCCCCCACCGCGGGACCTTGGGCACTTGGCTTACCCTCTCCCAGGCTCAGTTTCCTCACCTGTAAAATGGGGATAATGATACCTTCCTCCCCTGTTGTGTGGATTATTGAGGTAATTAATATGCATTCAGGACCCGGCACAGCTCATAACAGGCTCTCGATGCCTGGTTTTACTATTATTATCGTATATTATGGATTTCTTAAAGCATTTCTACATTATCTTTGTTTTTTTAAAAATTCTCCTCTTAAAAGCTACAGTGGGGAAGGTTTTATTTTTTTCATTTAAAAAAGCACCCTTAGTATGTCCCTTACATTTTTTTTGCCAAGCCCCGACCGAGGACCCTGGTTTGGTCCTAAGGCCTGCCTCCCTCTGAGAACCCCAAGTTTGGGCAGTCCAGCCCCTCCCGGCGGGACGCCTCTCTGCAAGCTGGCGGCTGCAATGGCTGGTCTGCTTTAAGTGTTGTTCCTAAACGTGCTGTTGTCTGGGCTTGCAAGCCTCTAAAACTCCCGGCCCTCCCTCCCTGCATACATTAGCCTTAATGTATTCTCTCTTGAATACTCATCATATTAAGGGTCCCGCTAGATACCTTGGTCGAAATAAATTTTATGGGCATACATCCTCGCCCTCATCCCTGTGCATTTGCAGCCGGGAGGAGAAATATAGCCGCATCTTTCCTCCCAGGCAAGGCCAAACAACAATTAGGTGGGAATCGGCGGCCTCTGGCCCCAGACCCAGGAGGTGCGGGGAGGGAGCAGGCGCCCCTACCGGGCTCACCCAGTACCCGGAGGGCGGTTCTCTGTCTGGTTCTCTAAGGGTGAATTTGTCTCCGATGGCCCAGTCCCTGGCTCCCCAGATCCAGCAGCAGGCAGTGTGCCCCGGGGTGACTGCTGGGCACAAGGGGCTGGTGCTCCCAGGTTCCTGCGCTCTGTACCCTTTCGCTCTGTACCCAGTTGTCCCCAAACCACTTCCCTGAGCCCTGAGGGCTTCTTGGTTAGAATTCCGCCCCCCTCTCCTGCAAAATGAGGCCAGAGCCCTCTCCCTGACACTCCCTTCCTCAAGCCCCAGGCCCAGCCGCTGCAGGAGAGACCCCGCCCTCTGGCCCAAACCTTTCAGATGCTATCCGCCTGGGATGCCTGTCTCTCCCCCATCCCAGGACGTGCTGCGCCACAGGAACTGCTGGTTATGCACCTGTCACTCATAGTCTCACCTGTGTGTATCCAAATCCCTCCGCTCCCAAGGCCTCACCCAGCCACAGCCTCCCTGGCCACACTGGGGATCCTGATAATTCCTGGGGAGAGGCAGGGGTGTGGTGGAGTGAGCAGCCCCCAGCCTTGCAGGGCTGCTGTGTGATGTGGGTGCTCTCTGAGCCTCCAGGTGAGGGTCATGACCTCCAAGCAGGGGTCCCTGGGAAGATTCAATAAGATCAAGCCAGTGATTTCTAACGTTCCTTTCCCCTCGGCCCCACATCTAACACCAGATTACTGCAGTTATCTCCTAATGATAGCAAGCCCTTACTGAGCACCAGCTGTATACACGGTGATTTGTTTAGTCTTCACAACAATCCTATGAGGTACTATGTCATCATCACCCCCCCCCCTCCCCCACCGCTTTAACAGGCGAGGAAACGGAGGCAAAGTAATTTGTTGAAGGTTATAAAGCAGGGCAGGATTCGAACCCAGGCGGTCCAATTCCAGAATCCGTGGTCTTACCCTGCATGCTCTCTATTCCCCCTTCTCCGATGGAGATTCCTGTAGTCATCATGTGCTTAGCACTTTGCTGGGCACATCGGAACTCCTTGGTGAGCAATTGTTGGTTGAACACTTTCTTTGTCACAGAGGAAACCTTTTGAGATAGAAAAAAAGTCCCCATACAACCTGGGACCGGTAGCAAGTGCCCAGTTTTCACATACTTCACCAAGTGTGACTCCTGGTAGTTTTCATGGTGTACTTGGTCTGAGAATGGGGTCAAAGGGCACGGCATCGAAGGGGTCTGACTTTCAGGCAATGTTGGTGGCTGCCAGAGCCTTGAAGGGAACAGGCTGGGGTCGGGGTTTAATGGGGCCCAAGACTGACGCGTGTGTACAGGGCTAGTGATGGCAATTTAGTGACTGTCCCACCGCCTGGGTGTAAGTTTTAGATACAAATGACTTTCTATTTGAGAAAGCGTTCTCCTTCCATAGTTTAGATGTTTTCAATTTTCTCCCAGTGCATTGAGGCGAATTCCCATATGTTGACACTTTAAAATTATGTCACGACCAACAAACATATGAATTGAGAAACCCGTGTGATTCATGAGAGATTTGGTTTTATGATGTTTGTTGACGTTTGGGGATGCACAGGAGAAACTAGAGGAGGAGTGTTTCAAGGTGAGCTTCTGAGAGAGGGTTTGATCAATTATTTTTTTTAAATTTTTTTTATTGATTTTTTTACAGACAGGAAGGGAGAGTGACAGAGAGAAACATCGATCAGCTGCCTCCTGCACATCCCCTACTGGGGATGTGCCTGCAACCAAGGTACATGCCCTTGACTGGAATCGAACCTGGGACCCTTCAGTCCGCAAGCCGACGCTCTATCCATTGAGCCAAACCGGTCAGGGCTTGATCAATTATTTATCCTGTGATTAACATCTGTGGTGGTGTCCTGTGTGCCAGGCACCGTGCTAGGCAGCGAGTTTACAAGGCCGAGAAACACTGGTGCTGCCCCTTGAGAATCCCACCTTCTAATGGGAAAGACACCGTGTAAACAAATAATTAGCAAAGGTCCTATTTACAATAGAGGTGAGAAATGCCAGCCAAATGCTGGCACTTTTATGTGTTTTTGTTGTTAATTTATTGCTTTCCCTTTGGGGTTGCGGGAGGGAGGGTCTATTTACTCACCCACCAATGGAAGCCTGACCATCTTGTCTATTTCGAAACTGCTTCATTGGCTCAAAATCCCTTGGCAAAGGTGAAACGGGAGAAAAACAGACCTTGGCTAGAAAGCCACCCGGGGCGGGAAGAACAGTGGTTGGGGTTGGGTTGCAGACAACAGAATCCACTTTCACTATCTAAGTGGAAGGTGGTCAGTTACCTGGTATTAGGTAGCTTGCGACTCAGTGGAGCCATGTGTGGGCCAGTAACTCCCAGCCCCCGGAATTCCTCGCCTCTGCCATGGCCGAGCAGGACATCACAGCCCCGACCCCAGAGCCTCTGCGTGCTGCACACCCGCACAGGGCAGCCTGCCCGAAGGCTGTGCCTCCATTTAACTTAGTTCTCAATTCAGGCCCCCCCCTTTTGTTGGGTTAATCCTCACCCAAGGATACTTTTCCGTTGCATTTTAGAAAGAGCGGAAGGGAGGGAGAGAGACGGAGACATCGATCGGTTGCCTCTCTTTTGTGCCTTGACCGGAATCGAACCCGGGACCCTTCAGTCCATGGGCCGATGCTCTACCCACTGAGCCAAACCGGCGAGGGCCAGGTCCCTTTTAAGTACATCTGATTGGCAGACTCTAAATCACAGGTGGAACCTGAGCTGCAAGGGAGCCTGGAAACGCAGTTTCTGGTTTGTGGCCTGCAGCCCAGGAAGGCGCATTGGGAGGGATGTTGTTGGAGCCAGTCCCTGGTATCCACGGCAGCTCATTAAAACACTCCCAGGAGATCCTCTCAAGACACTGAGATGCTCCCTCCACAGACACCCTCAGAACTGGGCCTCAATCTCTACTCACCCCCTGCACAAGTCATCTGGTTTTTCCACCCGGTGGTCTCGGCCCATGCCTGGGCAGGTCTCGCTTTGGCGACGATGTTTTTAGCCCAGATTGCACCCAGGAGTGAAAGTGTCATGGACATGGAGGAGAAGGTTGCTGGGTCTTCCTGGCCCGCGGGCTGGGGAATTGCAGGGGCATAAATGGGGTGAGCCGATGCTGCTAGCCTTGTGGTGCCCTTAGAAACACAGAAGACGCCTTTGGGCCAAAGACACCCAAAGCAGGAACAGCAAAGCATGGGCTGCATTTCAGCCCCCTTGACCAGAGGTCTCTGTGCGGTGTACGGCCTGCACAGCTGCACGCGGCAGCCCTGGAGGCTGGGGGTGGAAAGGCGTCCACACGGGGCCCGTCTGGTGAGCGGTGCTGTGCGGAGGGCTCACGCTGTCTCTCTCCTCTCCCCACAGAGATCCCCCAGTGCGCTGGCTGCAACCAGCACATCCTGGACAAGTTCATCCTGAAGGTCCTGGACAGACACTGGCACAGCTCCTGCCTCAAGTGCGCCGACTGCCAGATGCAGCTGGCTGACAGGTGCTTCTCCAGGGCCGGGAGCGTCTACTGCAAGGAGGACTTCTTCAAGTAAGTCAGAACCGGGGCGCAGCCTCCCTGAGCTGGCCTGGTCTGTCTGCGTCGCGCTGTGCAGTCGGTGGAGGGGGGCAGACGCTGGCAGGGGGGCAGGGTGGGGAGGGCAGTGGGCCCATGGAGGGGTGTATGAACCCTCCTGGTGAGAGGCTGCTCCTCCACGGTCCCCCTTTGGGTCACCAGCCCCATTGCTGCCAGAAACCCCAGGGTCCCCGCCTCACTTTAGCTGCCCGGGGAGCATGCACCAGGGTGGCTGACAGAGGCTCCTGCAGATCCTCAAACGCTCTCTCTGTCTGGGAGATGGTGCTTCAGGGCTCTTGGCTGTATCATTCCTGCGGCTTTCAGAGCAGGTGCGTTGAGAGCCCCGATTCGAGATGAGGCTGCTTCCCGGGCCTCGGAGGCCTAGAGGAGTTGTCTCTGGCGGGGGCCCCGCTGGGCTCCTTTGGAAGAGGCAGTTCCATGTGATGGTTAAGAGCCCAGACCCTGCCTGGGTTTGAACCTACTGACTAGTTGTGTGCTTTCGGGCAAGTTATTCACTTCTCTGTGCCTCAGTTTGCTTACCTGGAAAGTGGGGCTGATGCTAATAGTCCTGCCTCTTAGGGTTGTTCTTCAGCTTTGAACGAGTCCGTCTGGGTGAAGCTTTGGGACAGTGTCTGGCCCCCGTGTGTGAGCTCTTAGGCTGCCTTGATTTTCATTCTGATGTTGGGTCCATCAGGAAAATTCCTGTTGGAGCTTTGGGTCAGGGTGAGGGGACCTCCTAGAATTTATTTCTGAGGCATTTAGGCTGGAATCTTCTGTCCCAGGATCTAGTACCTGAGGCATTAGGCTGGTGGCTCAGCGGATTGGGACCAGCTGATAACAGCAAACAAGAACAGGAGGCGGGGATTGTCCATCAGAGACACTGGGCCCAGTGTCAGGGGGGGGCAGTGTGGGGGCCCCGTGGACGGGACTGGGACTGTGAGGAGGCTCACCAGGCGAGCGAACCCCAGAGGGGTGGTGTGCATCCTTCAGAGATTGTGCGTTCTGGGGACGGGGAGGGAAACGCCGGTCCCGGGAACAGAACACGATTTCTCCCAAATCCTTCCAAAGCTTTAACTGTGGGGAGTGAGTCATTGGAATTTCCGAGGGTCCCAATGATTTTTGTGCAACATGAGTTGGAAAGTACATTAAAGATCCACTTGATAACTACTGGGGCTGCCTGGGTGGCCTGTGTTCAGAAGGCAGCTGACTGTCGGTCAGCATCACACTGTGGTCAGATACGCACTGCTGTCTCCGTGTGTATGCGCCCGAGCGCGCGTGCGTGTATCTGAGTGTGGGGGCAGTAGCTGGCACACCCTACAGATCCTCCAGCTGAGAGATGGGCCTCTGGTTCTTCATCTAAGCCTTTCGTGTGTCCTTCCAGCCCCAACCTTGTCTTCTCCTTCCCCGCCTGTGGCCCTCGCCTTGCTCCCTTTGTTCTGGCATTTACGCCGTTCCTTCCCCTCTACCCACACCCTTCCTCAGTGGGCAGCAAGCATCTGCCTGTCTTCTTCCCTCAGCGATGACCTGGCCAAGCACACGGCTGTTCTTGCAGACGCCTGATGGGGTGGATTTCATCATGTGCGTGTGTGCATGTGTGTCATGTGCCTGTGAGCACCTGTGAATGAGAACGTGTGTGAGGGAGGATCTAACTGAGGGAGCAGGGGATGTGTGAGTTGTCCCCGCTCCCATAGCCAGGGCACCATCCTCCAGTTTTTCCCTTTCCCTGCGGAAAGCCCAGTGAGCTGAGGGAGGCAAGAGGCCCCGCCACCTCCCTGTTCATCCGGGGACAGGGTTGGCACTGAGGTGCCCTGGCTCAGACCTCTGGCCGGTCCAGCTGGGCAGGGCAGGGCAGCCCGTGGGGTGCAGGCAAAGCCTGCCAGGGACACAGAACCAGGGCTCTGTCCACAGAGAAGCTCTTTTGAGCCCCAGAAGCACCCTGGGGCACCATCTGATGTTTCGACCTTGATTGGCTGGTTCCGGGTTTGGGAAAGGGCGGTAGCAGCTTGGGGGCAGTTTTGGGTTTGGGAGAAGTAGTGATGAGGAGAGAGGGTCCCCCTAGACCCAGGAGAGGCTCAGAGTGAAGGCTGGGGAGGGATTAGCACTGGTTTACGGGCCACAAGCTCTTGACCACAAGTAACAAGGACACCCAGCTGGTCCCCGGCCTCCCCAGGCCATGGCCCTCATTTGGAGTCTTCCCGGGCCTTGCTCAGCAGCAACCTCCCGACTGACCCCCCCCCCCCCCCCCCCCAGACTAGCGTCCTACCTCGCAGCTCAGGTCCCGACCCCTCTCCCCCAGCTCCTCAGGGCCCCTCTGCCTACAGAGTATTCCAGATGCATCACACCAGCAGAGCCTTCTGCCCTGGGCCCACCCTCCCTTCCAGGCCTTAGCTCACTGCTTTCCTGGGTATGAGGACCCCCCCCCCCCGCAGGATGCCCGCTTGCCCAGGCACGCTCTGCGTTTTCCCACCTCCACGCCCTGGCTCTCCTGTCTCATCATCGGGGATGATGTTCGTCCTTCCCAGGCCTGCCCATCCTCCATGGCCGAGAGTCGGCTCCTCAGTGGGTGGGAGCCCCTGGGAGGCATGGCCACCCTGTCCCTCCTCCCTCCTGGTGACTCAGTGGGAACTGCCCTGTTTTGCTCATTCCTCATGCACCTGTTAGAGCTTCCTGTGGACTTGAGGGAAGGCTTGTTAGTCGGTCATTTTTCTGTCCCCCATATAGGCTCCTGGCCCCAAACCTTGCCCATAGGCTGTCAAAGAGTAGATCACACAGTGAATTTACAACCACTGCACAGTGTCCTGCGATTCTTGGAGGCCAGGCTGCCTGGGAGATGCACAGACCCCTTTATTTAGCACAGTCATTGTCCTTGTCCCATGGGACTGCCCTGCTTCATGAAATGACCCAGTCTCAGGGGCGGAGCCTTTTGTAAAGTGGGGGAGCTGTCCACAGAGTGGGTGCTGATTCCAGGTCATTAACCCTGTGCTGGGATGCTGTGTGGAGGGAAGTGGTCCTCCCCACTGCCAATGCAGGGTCAATCAGATGTGAAGATCGGCAGCTCTGAGGCCCCCCCAGGAGGACACGTGGATTAATAGGCAGTCGGGCCGCACCGTTCTTTGGGACCGTGGCTGTTTGGTACAGGGAGGCACAGCTGCAGGCAGTCCCAGTCCCAGGTGAGGACAGGGAGGAAAGGAGTTGCTCAGGGTCAGAGTGGCTTCACCTCCCACCAGGGGTCTTGGGACCCACTTCCCACTTGGGGCTCAGGCTGTGACGTGGCCACAGAGCTGGGTGCTCTGCTCCTCGTGACAGCTCCTTAAATGTCCCCCGGCCCCTGCTTTCCCATGGCACACTGGGGCACAGGTGCAGTGGGACTCTGTGAGCAGAGAGAACGTGAGGCAGGGAGGGGAGCAGGGCAGTCTCTGGACCCTCAGATCCCTCCCTCATCTCACACTGGCTGCAGGAACTGGTTCAAGTGCTGGGCGCCTTTAGGCAACTTCCTTGATATCTCTGAGCTCCACTGCCTTCTTCAGGAAAAAGGGAAATGCTACTGGTGGCTGCTTTAGAACACTTGGCACGCTGGAGATCTCACTCAAGGGAGGTGTTTTTTTTTTTTTTTATCATCAGAGTGGTTTGGGGAACCCAAACTCTGCACCTTGCACCTCAGACAGCTTTCAGCTGTGGGTTTGGAAGATGCCTGGTGAGAGCCAGGGAGAATTCCTTCTCTGTGCTCCTTAAAGTCAAAGAGAATCACGGCTGTAATGTGAAGAGTGGCCCCTGGATGTGAGACAGAGAAGTACGGTCTTGTGGAAGGTTGTACTCTGTGGTTGTTGGCTTTTTCTTTGGGGGAGGGGGCCAAGGGGAAGCTGGAGATTAGCTTTCACCTCCGGGAGATGGGGTAATACTGACGACTGGCAGTAGAGGGCGATGTTGATGTGTCACAGACAGAGAAGTACGGTCTTGTGGAAGGTTGTACTCTGTGGTTGTTGCATTTTTCTTTGGGGGGCGGGGGGCGTTGAACTCTCTCTGGTTCAATACCGTTGGCTCATTTGTGCTGTTGTTACTCCTCGGGTTCTTGGCTCCCCTTTCTCCAAAGGAAATACGATTCTGAGCCTGAGAGGAGAGCAGTGTGGTTTCAAGGCCATGCAATTTCAGTCGCAAGCCGAAGCGCCAACTCCTTGAACTGCATTTGCTAATCAGGTCCTTTCTGGACTGTGTGCCCAGCATGTCGTGGGTCCCCTGTTTCCTTGCAAAGGAACCCAGGGTCTGGGGAGGGCAGGGGTCTGAGAGGAGGGCTTCTGGGTCCCCTCCCGGCAGCTCCCTTGCTCTGAAGCGCAGTGAAGACAGGACAGGTTCTGTGCTGCAGGAACTGGTTCAAGTGCTGGGCGCCCTTAGGCCACTTCCTTGACATCTCTGAGCTCCCGGTGTCGTCTTCAGGGAACGTGGGGATGCTCATGGTGGGTGCTTTGGGAAACCCGGCACGCTGGGGCACTTCTCAAAAGGAAGGTGTTTTACGAGCAGAGTAGTTTGGGGAACCACTCTGTTTGCTGAATCCCTGTCCTGACTTTTACTAGCTGTTTGTCAATAACAAGTGCGTAGGCCCTTCGAACCGCTTCCCTTATCGTTAAGAGGCATCATGCTCGCCCACAGAGTTGCTGTGAAGTGGGAGGATAGCGAGTAAACCGTGCCCAGCACAGGCTGGTGCTTTATCTGTGTCTCTGGGTTTCTGGCCCTGAGTGGCCGCTGGACCCACAGCCCTGGGAGGCCCGGCTGTTGGCGTCCGCCCGCAGTGCTGGGCCTGCGCTGGCTTCTGACCTCTTCCTCCTCCCCCAGGCTTGAGACCTTCCCAACCAGGTGACCTTTAATGGCCGAGAAGCCCTCAGACAGAGGTGGGGGTAGCCTGGCAGAGCGGGGCGGGCACAAAGCCATGTGCTGGGGTAAACCACGGGGTAAAGATGCCACGTGGATTTGCATGAAGGCTT